AAAGTCATTTAACTCTGGGTTTTCCTCAGTAGAACAGCCCTTTGGAAGAAATTCTGTTTTTCATTCCTTATGCTGTTGGCTCCTCTGCACAGCGCCTGAAACCTTCCTGATTGTTTAAAATGATAAATTATTTTAATTTACTCTGAATTTATGTATTATTACTGCACAGACACGGGGCAGGAGCCGCAGTGTGCTTGTTTCATAATTGGTGGGGATTTGGAACGTGAAAGCCTTACCCAAACAACAACTTTATTTCACCAGGGGGTGTGCCCGTGTGTCTCCATGTACCACAGTCACATTCCAGAGAGATGGGAGCAAAGCTTCACCCAGGCAAATAATTTATGATGCTGAACGGCACAGGAATACCAAGAGAGGATGGGAGTCAGAAATGCACCTCTTAAAGCCATAAAGGAGAGTACTCTTGTGTTCATTTCACCACCCAGCACTCCAGAGATACCTGCATTTACACAGTGCTGCGCACAACTGCATCCAGCACTAGTATCTGGACATGCATCAGAAGGACTGTAATACTAGAATATATATAGCATCTTAAAATACAAATATGCTGTATATACTTGATATTCACCTGCTACTGGTACTGCAAAGCTTCCTTGCCAAATGCCCAGGTCTCAGTAATAAGGATGACACGGGACGAAGAACATTTGGCAGATGTGTTAAAGCTGTCCACAACCAGTGTTGCTCCTTTGGTAAAGGCTGTTGGCTATAAGGGGCAGCTTGTCTTGGAAGAGAAGGCAGAAGTGGCAAGTCCCAGTCACCAAAAGTCAATAACCACCCCCCACACCCCCAGCATTATAACATGAATTAGGCACCGACATCCCCACTAGGGCCTGAAAGGCTTCAGCAGAGACCTGATGACTCCGAAGCAGGGAAGAGCACTACTGAGCACAGCACAGACCTGGAACTCCCGAGGTGGGAAGAGAAGCAGCCAGGCTACATGTGAAGGATGGATTTCAGCTTCAGAAAACAAACCAAGAACCCCCAAACCTCCTGACCTATGACCAAAGCCAGGAACCATCTTCCTCTACAGTCCCCTTCACAGATGTCTGTCGGCTGCTCTAAACCTCAGACCACACTCACACAGGATGGCCAAAAGAGACCATCATTGTCAAAGGCACGTCGAGGAGGTCTGAGTTACCTGCTAACAAGGGTGGCCTGGAGCTGATCCCTGGTGTTCCCAGCTGGATGCAACAAGAACGGACGAATGCCCTGTGATCACAGATGTGGTTACCTGCTTTATAGCTTCCACCACAGTCTTTGGGAACCTCCATCCAATGGCTCCCAGCATGAGGTTTAACTCTTTGCAGTGAAGGCTACACAGTATTTTACATGTTGCAGAGTACATATTTCTATGATTCTAAACATTTTTATGTTATATAGATTTTAGGATTTCATTAATTTCTCTGTAATCACATAATGGTAAAAAGACCTTTTGCTCTTTAAACTCAGTTTCTAAAACTTCATTTACTGTCATTACATGATTTAGAAGTGTTACCAAGGTAAAACCAGCTTTCATCATCCATGAGCTTTAAGAAAAACAAAATGCAGGCAAAAAACCTTTGCTTTGTAGAGAGAGCCATTTCCATCACCTCCAGATGAGTACATTGAGATACCCAGGGGAGTTTGCTCACAAAATGCAGATGAGGTGTGTAGGGACCGGTAAGGAACATAAACCTGGTCTCTCCGAGGGTGACACACACAAATCACCGTAGCCTAGATAAGCATCAGCACAGGAAGCCACAGAGAAACCCAGCAGACAAACCCAGTTGTGAACCAGAGACTGCTTCCGTATGTTGAGCAGTTTGCAATGCAGCCATTTATTCTTTCAATAAAATAACATTTTTACAACTTGCTCTCTCCTTCCTCATGTGTTCTCATTAAATCTTAACTGCTTGTCTGGGAAGAATATATGGGAAGAATATAGAGGAGCTGCAGGACAGAACTTCACTTCTGAAGCAAGTGGCTCCCCAAAATTACATTGCCATACAAAACCACCATGTTACTGATATAATTCCTTATAACTTCATGAACCAGTGACAGGAGCAGTGTTGGGGCTGCACAGATCAAAACAAACAAAAGGCACTAGGACTTTAGTTGTGGAAGCTGCAGAAATAACTCCTCATCAGAGAGAACCTTGGCTGATGAGAGACGCTCTTGGAAAAACAATTGCTAAGATGTGTTCTGTACCAAGACAGAAGCTAAAGGATGTTATTGGCCAGCTGTTTAGTGGGTCTATCTGGGGTGCTGTGCCCTGTGTTGGTTAGGGAGGTTGTGGGAGACCCAGGAGCACCCACCAAGGCAAGGAGGGGGGTTTCACCTGCCCCACGGTGTGCAGTAAGGGGTGATGGGTGAAGGGTTGCCTGGTGTTGGGGTGATGGTCACAGGGCTGGGATTGCTGCTCAGAGCCAGGTTTAACAGCACCACTAGAGAATAGCTGCCTACGTTTAATGCTGAACTGATGCATTAAACATTCATATGAATTAACTGTTTGAAAATGAGGGAGCTGTGCCACTTGTTTTACTTCGTGGTAACACTTGGAGGCTTTTACTGGAAAGCCTCAGCAGTCAAAGCGACTTTATTTCTCACCTTTAGCAAAGACAATGAAAACCTAATGTGGGAACTGGGACTTGGCTCACTCAGCTCACCACCTCATTCACTGAAACAGCCCACGCGCCTTCATCCCTGCTATTTTAGCTCCAAATGAGACTCACAAGTCAAAGCTTATCCCCAGTTCAACAACTCCCTTATCCACGCTCCTTGTGGGCCCCCAGAGGGGGGTCCATATGCAATTCAGATGCACAGGGGCAGATGCAGGGTGTCTGTTGAGCCAGTGTGCAGCATCACGCTCCCCACAGGGGACACCTCCACCAAAACACACACCCTGAACATCTCCCCAACCTCCTCGCAGCTGCAAAAGTGCTGACTCAAAGCCATGGGAAGTACTTCCATGCTCCAGCATCAATTATTCAAGCAAGGAATGTGGATGATGCTTTAGGAGCACTGAGGAGGCAACTTCTGAAGCCCTCGTTGCTGGAGAACAGCCAGAATCAGAGCAGCGTGCTGAGAGGTGAATCAACATGTGCCAGGGAAGGGACCCCATGGCCACCCTGCCCCAGGAGCCAGGGCATGGCCAACCCTGGGTGCTGTGAGGTGCGATGGCAGAAAGGAGCTGCCTTCAGACGGCGACAGAGCTGGAAGGGAAAACACCTTTTCTAACCCCCCAGTTGCATTATCCAGCTTGCTGGGACTAGTATCTAAATCAACAGCCTGGTCCCCAGACTTAGGATACTAACAGCAGTTGATTAAACATATATTTAAATATATTAGTGTTGCAAATGCCCAGTGAGGAAAAACTGAGGAGGAGCAGTGCCGACGTGCAGCAAGACTCGAGATAAACAGCCCTACCCGTGTTCTGCAGCCTCCGCTCAAAGTGTTGTCTCTTACACTGATCCTGCACTTCCCCTTTCAAAGGGCACCACCAGCTGAAAGCAAAATAAACTGGTCTGAAAGGAAGCCTACAACAGGCGGATGAACTGGAAGAAGTTAATCATAGAGCAAGAAGAATGCCAAGACAGACTTAAAGCACCGTTATCTCAGCACCTAATTGCTTTGGTAGTGATGTTAATGCTTCCTTCAGCAGCATCTCTTTGCAAAACAGATCCTCTCCCTCCCTCCTGAGACAAAAGTGATGCTTTCATCCTACGGCTCCAGTTTCATTTATGTAACCTATCCAGCTGCACAGGCACTGAGTTTCAGAGAGAGACTCAGGCCAGGAACCGACTGTGTTGCAGCTGAAACCCACCCAGAGGCAAGTCCACGGGTTTTACTAAGGTAGTTCCAAACCTGTATTTGTTTACATCCTAATAACGTTTAGTACTGGCCGAGCAAACCCATTGCATTACCCTATCTGCCACCTCTATGCCTGAAACAGTACAAATAAGACACTTTCTTGTTTAGATTATTTCCTTTGGATCCCCAGTACCGCAGGCAGAGAGCACGAGGGCTTCAGGACCCCTCCAAACACAGAGTCTGGCTGAGGGATACATAGAAAATACTTGTCAGCTGCCCTACATAGACATCTACTGTATTTTCAGCAGCTACTACACCAGACGCAGACTGCCTTGCTATAAAACCATCCCCAAATCCCACTGAAAATGCCTCCTACAGTATTCTATGGCAGATCATGGGACTGGTAAAAAGGCATCTGCCTAAAATAGGTTGGAACCTGGAGGCCTGAGGGAGTGACACCCTAAGAGAACATAATGCAGCCGGATACTTCATCGCTTCAAACTGCCGGCAATTGAATACGAGGTTGGATGCAGGCAGAGAGGCTCAAACCCCTGCAACAGCGTTCCCGAGAGCAGAAGATGGGGTTTAATTCAAGTAGAGCAAAATAAGGGGAAAACTATGATAATGAGTGTAGGATTTAAAAGTATAAATGGATACAAAGTTTGGGAGGGGGTGGGGAATAATTAAATCAAGCCAGAGGATTAATGGGCAGAAATCAGAGGATTCGAGTAGATTAAGTGCGTGCGACCACTGGTGAACAGGTTTCGCTCCAGCCAACCGGGCTGGGGCTGCTGGAAGCGCGGGGTCAAGGCAGCCTTTCCATTGGGAAATAGGAAAAAGCACAGAAATGAGCTATAGCAACGCGGGGGCTCTGCCGGGGCGCAACTCCCGCTCCTGCGGAGCTGGGAAGTGCTGCGGGAGCCAAACCCCCCCCAACCCTGCGGTTGCCAACTTCTACCAACAGACCTCTGGCCAAAGTGGGAGAGTTAAAACCGCTTCCAGCGAGCTCCGGGACCCCCCAACGCCAACAACCATCACCCCGGGGACAGAGGCAGTCTCCGCAGCATCCCGCGGGAGACTCGACCGCTCTCGGGGGATGCTGCGGCTGCAGGGCCGGTAGAGCGGCTCCGCTTCGTGCTCTCCGATACCCCCCATATCCCTCCTACCCCATCGCGACCCATATCGCTTCCTACCTAAGCACCGCTGTGTCCCCCTTCCTGACCACCAGATTGTCCACGGTCGCCCCGGGGAAGTCCCCACCGGGAGCAGCGAGGCGCCCGGGAGGCAGGAGACAGCACAGGCCGAGGACCACGATCGCCGGCCACTGGTGGGAGCCCCCGGCGCTCCGCACCAGCGGTACCATCTCCGCGCCGCTCCGCTGCTGCCCGCGGTCGGCGGCCGTGCGCGGAGCGGGGCTGCTCCCGGGCGGCCGCCGCAGCATCTAGCGAGGAGGAGGAGGAGGAGGAGGAGGAAGAGGAGGAGGAGAAGGAGGAGGAGGAGGAGGGAGAAGGAAGAGGAGGAGGAGGGCAGCGCGCCCGCTCTGCGCGCCGCGGCGGCGGCTCGGCGGCGGGCGGCCCCCGCTGCCAGCCCCGTTGCCACGCAGCCGTTGCCTTGGCAACCGTCCCGGCGGCGGAGGGATGCGGAGGGATGCGCTGTGTCCCTCCCGGGCTTCCCGCCCCGCGACATCCCGGCCCGCAACCTCCCCCCACCACCTCTCTTCGCCCGGTTCCCACCTGCCCCCGTCATCCATGGGCATGCCCGCCGCTCCTCCTCGGAACCTGCTCCCTGTACCATTCTCCACATGGGATTTCACCAAAATTTACCCAAAGCCAGCGAGGCAAACGCTGGCTTGAGGCGGCGGTGCTGGAAATTGCACCGGCAGCTCCACGGTGAGGCCTCCTCCTCCCTCGGGAGCTGCTACGACTTCCAAAGAAACAATCCAGTGCTTTCTGGAATACAGGACTAGCCACTCTGATGTTTGGGCAGTTCCGTTCCCTATGATTCTACCAGGATAACTAGAGACAGACACCAAGGAGCAAAGCACCACGGACAGACTATTCCCCTACAGCCATGCAACAATGAGCAGCAGCCTGCCTTCCTCCTGCCGTCTCCTCCAGCATGTTAAATGCACATTCAGAACCTTGTTGGCCTCTGAGACTGATGCTAAGTAAGGACTTTGTTTGCTTGGTTTTGTTACCCGAATACCCACCTCCCCATGTAGCTGCTGCTCACAGGACCTCAGGCTGCACATTTCCAGCTTCCCTACGGGATTCACTCTCCTCCCATCAGAGGGAGAGAAGTTGCTTAAGGGATGCACTGTCATGGCAAAGGAATGGCAGGGCTGCTGCAGCGAGGGCAGTTCTGAGCTGTTCCCACACTGCTCCATGCACATCTGGCCCGCACAATGTAGGAATTGTTTCTCCAGAGCAGCTCGGCCACCCCATGCGCCAGCCAGCACAGCCTGGCTCTCCCATGGCACTTCCCCTCTCCCTGGCTGCTGTGCCTTTTCCCAGGACACCGCTTTTCCTACTCACAATTTGCATCAGGAGGATTGACAGAATATTCCAAGTAAAAAAAATACTTATTAATTCTATTTTCAATGCTCCCTTTTCCCCTAAACCTCTATTCCTTCTGTAAGCTGCGTCCCTCACCACTACATCCCATTGCAGTACATCTTTCCAGCTGCCAAAGGAAATTCTAGCATACACAGAAGGGAATTATTCCTCTATTTCTCCAGCACGTGATACTACAGAGTTTCCTTGATAAGGACAGAGAGAGATCGGCTGGCAAATCTTAGATGTGGAAATCTCACCATCAGAATTACCACTGTAATACAGGGATGCCTTTTCAGTGTTAAACACAACTCCACCGTGAGACGACTCCCTCTATCAGTGCACATGCAGCAGCTGTAGCACGTGATACCATCCATTGGGACCACCAGCAGGAACTTCCTGCAAGCAGGAGCTGAACATTTACCATGAAAAATGCAGTTAGGAATATTCCTGAGGCAACACAGTGCATTTTGAGCTGGGTTTGCCAGCAGGACAGACTCTGGTTGTGAGCCACAGTTGCTATCATTGTTAACTATGAGATGACAAGGGGGAATGGCTTTATCCTGCCCGAGGGAGACTGAGCTGAGCTCTTAGGCAGAAGCTCTTCCCTGTGAGGGTGCTGAGGCGCTGGCACAGGGTGCCCAGAGAAGCTGTGGCTGCCCCATCCCTGGCAGTGCTCAAGGCCAGGTTGGACACAGGGGCTTGGAGCAAGCTGCTCCAGTGGAAGGGGTCCTTGCCCATGGCAGGGGTTGGAGCTGGAGGAGCTTTGAGCTCCCTTCCGACACAAACCAGGCTGGGATTCTACAAGTATCAGTGAGAGCCCTCGCCCGTCTCACACTGTCACCATCCCACATCTGAAGACACACAACAATCTCCTGTAGGGCCTGCCCAGACAGGAATTCCTCCTGCAGGCAGCAAACACATAACAGCACATCCCAAACATTTGGCAACCTCCTCCCTGTGCAGTTCGCAGGTGTCATTTTTACCGTCACCCATCGAGTTCTGCTGTCAGCACTGTCAAAGCAGTTCTCAAGGCACTGCATCCTCACAATGTCTTGTTTCCCGTCCAACCTCACCTCAAATATTGCCATCAAACCTCTATCTCCTTTTTAAAATCACCGACCCTGTAAGCTGAGAACCCACCTTCAGACCCCAGTGTCCCCCTGACCATGTGTCTGATGGAAGCTTGGTCTGAAACACCACCCAGCTCAAGCCTGACAAGGGTTTACCCAGCAGCACTGCTGCATCAGCGCATCCTTGTCCCAACAGCAGCCACACAGAAGGGTAAAGTACCAAGAACTGCTCCCTGTTTTGTGCATAAGCCACAGCAGACACACACCACTCCTGCTTCAATGGCTCCTGAAGACCTGTCAATCACTTCTCCCCACACTTCTCCCTTTTAAGGCCACATTCCAATAAAGAGCCTCTCCTGTGAATGACACCCATTCCATCGCTCTCACAAGAGCATCTCAAAGACTTCAAATTCCTTTTGTGTCCCAGGATGATTTGCTCATTTGCCAAAGGTACCGATAACTGTCTCACCGCCCATCAGACAACAGCAGCCTGCCTTGGCCAAAGGGGTCAGAGTGACCCTTCCATGGCTCCCAAATCAGAACCCACTTTGCTATTTTTCACCTTAAACTTTTCAAGCAGGGGTAACTAATAACCCCAAACAAACAAACCAACCCTCCCCACCCGACCCAAGGCTTCCTGCTCTTCCTGCAATCTCAGCCATGCTATAGTACCAAACTAGATGATGCCATTCTTTTCATAACAAGGAAAAAGGGAAGAAGGAAGAGGGTTCAGATCAGTTCAGAGATCAGTCTGTTCCCTCACAGCCTTGCAGTCCAGAGGGAAATGTGGTTCCTCCTCTAACAGGCACGCAAAACTATTTCTGTTACATTTGGCCACACATTTCATAGACTCAGAATGGTGTGGGTTGGAAAGGGCCTTAAGATCATCTAGTTCCAAGCCCCTGCCATGGGCAGGGACACCTCACACTAAACCATGTCAGCCAATGCATTAGTATTTGAGACAGAACGTTTGTGAATGTGTTTGTGATCAGTAGTGCTGTTCTCCAGGCCTGAAGGGAGGCACCTTGTCACAGCATATTGTGCTGACATCCAGAGGAGCAGGCACTGGGGAATCTGGTTTTATGTGTGAAAAACCACCCAGCTGCTCCTGTAAGAACTCCGAGTCCATCCAGAGAGAAATGTGATATAATGGTCAAGATCTAATTTTATGGAGAGCTCAGTAGCCTTTAATGAGTTGCAGGATGAAGGTTTTGCTTGACCTTAAGAAACAATGAAACAATTCGCACCTCTTTGAATCAGAAGGACAAGAGGTATTTCCTCAGCAACATTCTATTAATTTTGCAAAAGATCACATAAATCTCAATCAGCAACAGCCCAGATGAAGCTTTTTGCTTTGTTTTGTTCATTTTTACATTCATAGCCCTGGCTTTCATGCTATTTGCAGATCAATGGGGAAAAAAAAAAGCAGGTCAGGAGTCAATAGCAGTTATGACAATCAGCGCTGCTCTAGAGGCTGAATTCTTTCATCTGGATCTTCCCCACCTCCTCCAAGCCTGGGGGGGGGGAGGAAAGGAAAACATCTCTCACAGCAGATGTGTAACACAGTAATATTGTTTCCAGGGCGGGAAGCCAGGGTCTTTGCCATTAGTTACTGTGAGGGGCATTTGGCTATTTAAGGATGCTGGTGGCACTGAAGGAACTCGGGAGTTACACAGTGCAATGGCAAGGGCATGTGCTATTTCTCACCAATCGACTACACATTTTTGTTCAGAGCCTTTTAGAAAAGCTGCATTTATTTGTTGTTTGCAAGTTCCCCTTCAACAGTCTGCACAACGATTCAAGATGGATTCACAACCCACAGCCGGCTTTTGGCTTCCTCTCCTGTGGTTGTGAGCCTCGGTTGCTATCACTGTTAGCTCTGACAGGCCAAGGGGAATGAATGGCTTGAACCTGCCCGAGGGGAGACTGAGCTGAGCTCTTAGGCAGAAGCTCTTCCCTGTGAGGGTGCTGAGGCGCTGGCACAGGGTGCCCAGAGAAGCTGTGGCTGCCCCATCCCCGGCAGTGCTCAAGGCCAGGTTGGACACAGGGGCTTGGAGCAAGCTGCTCCAGTGGAAGGGGTCCCTGCCCGTGGCAGGGGTTGGAGCTGGATGGGCTTTAAGGTCCCTTCAACCCAAACCAGGCTGGGGTTCTGTGATTGCTGTTTTTCAATGAACTCCTCAATTTTAGTTCTTTTTAACTCCTGGTCATGTCAAGTTCCAGTGAGTTTCATTTTTCCATGTCCTTTGGGCAGCGCTTGTCAGCTGCTCATTACCCTACATTAGAGCTGGCCAAGTAATTTGCTCCATTTCTCCATGTTTTAACATTGGCTGACAAAGTGCACATCTTATTTCAAGTTCCCAACAGCACTCACAGCAGCAGCACGTTCAAGGTATGTCTCATCTCCTCAAACAACCACCTGCAGCCATGGAAGGCACTCTGTCCTGTGATTCTGTAATGGCTCTAATCAAAGTCTTTTTACAGAGCTCTGTGAGAATCAAATGGGCAATTTCCATCTATCCATTTGTTTGCTTTTGAAATACATATTTCTGAAAGCATTCGAGTATTCCATCCAGTTGCCAAATGACTTTGGTTAGCATCACCCATCACATCTGAATAGCAGAGGTTTGCCATGATTCTGGCACTGATAAGGGACTTTATTTCTGCTTCCTAAACAGATGATAGGCATTTTTAATAGGGGGGAAGGACATATGGGATGACGGGATACAGATGGGCAACAAAAAAAAGAACAAAAACCCCACATATTGAATTCTGAGTCATGTTTTGTGTCCAAGTTTATAAAAACTTGGGAATTTGGAAGGATTTTTACAATGGCCAAAGAACAGCAGAAGCTTAGAGGCAATGAATGAAGCATTCCCACAGAGAAAGAGAGGGTTTCATTTCTATTAGCTTAGGAATTCTCAGGTAATCAACATTCCCAGGTAAT